TTTTTTTGATAGAGTTTTATTCTCTGAGCTGAATACTTTGGCCGTGGATTTTTCATCAGCACAAACTTCAGGTAGAAATGAATTGGAGATACAACCAAAACAGATAATTAAACAATAATAGATTTAAGGTCAATAAGAATCAATCAACATCAATGTTTACAGGACAATCTGTGAATCACATGTAGAGAAATTCGAATACTCACAGTTGATTGATCACTGGGTGGTGATTAATATCATGTGTGTCAAGTCCATATTAATGCAAATCGAATGCTATCGACCAACTTGCAACATGGCCACTAATCTAGGTGACTCGACATTGTATGCACTATGTTGAGTTGAGATGGTGGTTGGATGTAGTCAACAGGAAACCCTGAACCCGGGTTTCGTGTTACTTGGCACTCCTCAGCAAAGTGTACCTGTAATCTGGAGGGATCTGGAGCTCCGTGACAGGTTCGATCTCGTGTCACCCAGCTTCACAGTCAGAGACGTCAACATTGGGCTGTCCGGGCCGCGACCTACTTCCTGTAGGACTGAGATATAATCACAGTTGATTGATCACTGGGTGGTGATCAATGTCATGTATATCAACTTCATATTAATGACACGGAATCGAATTCGTCAGAAAGCACTAGTTCCCTCAAGATTACAGGTACATCTTGTTGATGAGTGCCAAGTAGCATGAAACCCGAGTCTGCGGTTTCCTGTTGACTACCTTCAACCAGCATGTCAAATTTAAACACTTCACTTCTATCTGAAGTTTGTGCTGTCGATTAAAAGTCTCCACAACCAAACCATTTAACTTCGAGAATAAAACTTCATTAAAATCATCCACCTGAACTATAAATCTTCTCCACCATATCAACATATACACTCATCTTCATTTAAATATGTAACTATATAGAGAAATTTAACACGAATAATAATAATAATACGTGTTTAAATTAATATAAACCTATATTCATTTCATATTTAACTCTAGGTGTATTGTAACATTCTTTGTGTTTTTGGTTGACCTGTTAAAACATGATGTATAATTCTCTTTGACAAATTTATTCTATTGCATAAACACTATATATACATATACATTTATACAAAAGTGTATATAAATCAATGCACTTACCTACCTAACTACCTACCTGCCCACCTGCCTACCTACCTACCTACCTACCTACCTACCTACCTACCCACCTACCTACTTACCTACATACATACATACATTCACACATACATACATACACATATATACAATAGTTTACACTAGAATGCAAGTTACTTGCTAAACAAAATCTATAAACATTGAATAAATTACTTAAATGATAAGTAATATATAAAAGTGTAAAGTTATTTTCAGCAGAAAAACTTATATTCTTAATTGTATGTAATGATAAAATCAGAGTGAGAATGTTGTAACTAAGCAATGTATATCATCATGATTATCAGTGGAGTTAATCCATGTAAGGTAAAAAGATAGGTATATAACTTAGATCATGGAAGATGGTCACACGATCTTGTTGAATACTGACTAAATAGTCTAGAGGTTAAACGTTCCCACACAAAATCGAAGGTTCTGAGTTTGAATCCTGTATGCGGAATAGTGAATGAACACTATTGAGGAGTCTTGTACTAGGATAAAATGGCTGTTAAGTACTCTCAGGTTCTCAATAGTGATCTAACATCGATCGATTCATGATCTCAATCAAAAAGCTTAAAAATTTTCACAACTCTTTACTCATAATGATGTTAATAGTCATGATAATTTTTAATTGTGTAATAAATCTGTTATTTATGAATAAACGACAAATATTTCAGTAGTGCACTCATTATGAAAATTGAGATTGTTGTGTCGAAACTGATGTCACTTTGTTTGTACTGTTGAGAAGTTCAACAATAGAAAGAAGTAACTATGCAGTGCTTATACTACTTGTAAATTAAGGCAATATCGAGGCAATACGCACAGTATGCACATATGCCAATAAGAGACTGATCAATTTCAGTCCTAAACATCAATAGGAAAATCCAAGTAAAATAATATCAAGTGAATTAAACTTCACCCCATTACACAATCAAGTGGCTATCAGGACTCAGTAGCTATGGCGTTTGAAGCAAACGGTAGTGGGTTCGAGTTCCAGAGTGAACATCAACTTTGTGATGCATGTACATTCAGCTGGTCAGTTCAAAATTGGACAAAATGCGCGTCCTGGATTCCACTGCTAGCCACTATCCATCTTTGCTTATAATGCTTGCGAATTAAGGCAATATTGAGGCATACGCATAGTATGCACATATGCCAATAAGAGACTGATCAAATGTAGTCTTAAACATCAATGGAAAAAACATATCAGTTCAAAAATGGGGTTATTCAACTTTCGATCAGATCAATGGCAACATCACTAAACATGATATGGATTGAATCCGGTAAAGATCCTTCATTTTTAGAGATCTTAAACATCTATTATTATCAAATAAAGACTAGCACAAAACCTAGATTTATTTCTTTATAACTATTGTCTGAAATGATTTACGGATCACAATATTGAGTTACTTTCAGTAAAATAATCATATCACAATTTGATTCAACGAATCCAACTATAATTAATGCCTGAATAGCATGACATTTACAACTAACAAGGTAACAACTAGTGTAAATATATTTTTTAATCGAGATCATGAACCGATTGATGTTAGACCACCGTTGAAAACCTGAAAGTACTGGACAACCATTTCGCCTTATTGTGAGACTCCTCAGCAGTGCGCATCCACAATCCCGGTCGCAGGATTCAAATCGTTTTTGTATCCAACATTGAATGTGTTCGTTCAGAACCATAGTATAATAATCATATAATTTGACTAAGTGATTGAATTCAATTTGTCATTATTTTACAGTATAATTTTGAGATTAGTAGGTGTGTGATTGATTTTTAATTGGTTAATCTTAAAGATTTGTTCAATTCTAATCTGATTTTTGTATTGGATTGATCTAAGCTGAGAAATGATTTTTTTTTAAAGACAGATTTTACTAGATTAATATATTTCATCCGAAGGTTTTAATATTCAGAAGTTCATTTCAATGAAACATCTGGTGACTTATTCATTACTGTGATCTTGAAATATGGAACTTTTCACAGAACCCTAAAAAGATGGGTTAGACCAATGGTTAATTCATAAATATGAAGTGTAACATTAAGACAAAACAAATGTCATATGCTACTTTATTTTCATAAGTATCCTGGTTGAAATTGATGCGTGACACAAAAATAATCTCAGGCTCAAATCAATATCTTTGATAGAGCAAATGAAATCTTACCAATAATAATGTTACCCATATACAATATCACATCAATTACTTACTTACTTACTTACGCCTGTTACTCCCAATGGAGCATAGGCCGCCGACCAGCATTCTACAACCCACTCTGTCCTGGGCCTTCTTTTCTAGTTCCATCCAATTCTTGTTCATTTTTTGCATATCTATCTCCATTTCCCGGCGTAATGTATTCTTTGGTCTTCCTCTCCTCCTTCGACCTTGAGGATTCCATATGAGGGCTTGTCTTGTGACGCAGTTGGGTGTTTTCCTCAATGTGTGTCCTATCCACTTCCAGCGCTTCTTCCTGATTTCTTCCTCCACTGGGATCTGATTTGTTCTCTCCCACAGTTGGTTGTTGCTAATAGTGTCCGGCCAACCGATCCGAAGTATTTTATATAGACAACTGTTAATAAACACCTGTATCTTTTGGACGATGGCTTTCTTAGTTTTCCAGGTTTCTGCACCATACAGTAGAACTGTCTTGACATTTGTATTGAAAATTCTGACCTTGGTGTTGGTTGCTAATTGTTTTGAGTTCCAGATATTCTTCAGTTGTAAATATGCTGCTGTTGCTTTGCCAATCCGTGCCTTCACATCTGCATCAGATCCACCGTGTTCATCGATGATACTGCCCAAATATGTAAAGGTTTTTACATCTTCCAAAGCTTCTCCGTCAATTTTGATTGGATTGGTACATGTTGTGTTGTATCGGAGAATCTTGCTTTTCCCTTTGTGTATATTGAGACCTATTGCTGCTGAGGCTGCAGCTACACTGGTTGTCTTCTCCTGCATTTGTTGTGTATGCGATAGAAGAGCCAGATCATCTGCGAAGTCTAGATCATCCAATTGCATCCTAGCTATCCACTGTATCCCGTGCTTGCCTTCAGATGTTGATGTATTCATGATCCAGTCGATCACCAGGAGAAAGAGAAAGGGTGAGAGTAAGCAACATTGCCTGACACCGGTCTTTACTTCGAACGACTTTGTCAACTGTCCTCCATGCACGATTTTGCAGTTTAATCCATCATAGGAATTCTGTATGATATTGACTATCTTCTGAGGCACGCCGTAGTGTCGAAGAAGCTTCCATAGGGTTGTTCTGTCCACGCTATCAAATGCTTTTTCGTAGTCGATGAAGTTGATATAGAGTGATGAATTCCATTCAATTGATTGTTCCACAATGATCCGTAGAGTTGCGATTTGGTCTGTGCACGATCTATCCTTACGGAATCCTGCCTGTTGGTCTCGAAGTTGGGCGTCTACGGAGTCCTTCATCCTGTTTAACAATACCCTGTTGAAGACTTTTCCCGGTATTGAAAGAAGAGTGATTCCCCTGTAGTTGTCACAGTTACTGAGATCGCCTTTCTTTGGTATTTTGACTAGAAGTCCTTCTTTCCAGTCTTTTGGTACCTGTTCCTCATCCCAGATCTTTCTGAAGAGGGTTTGGAGTATCCTTGCAGTTACCGCCACGTCTGCTTTCAGTGCCTCTGCTGGAATGCTGTCTAAATATCACATCAATACTTATGATATAATATTGTTTTAGCGAGTTAATTTTCCAACGGCATGTGGTAGGTAACCCCATGCCAAATCGTTCTCCTTTATCTGGGCTTAGGACCGACAGTAGCCTCAGAGATGGGCATCAGGCGGAATTAATTTATTTTAAAATAAACTATTATTTTCTTTTTTAAAATTTCAGAAACAGTATTGATTAAAAATAAACAATCAATTAAAAGAATTCAAGAACTTCAACAAATTTATGGTGATGCTGATCAACGTATTAATCAATTAGAAACTATATTACAAGAACAAATTGATCGTAAAGATAATCATCGATCAATATCGAATGTAATTTTAGATAATAAACAAGGACAACAACAAGCAAAATCAATATCAAAAGTGAATTATACAAATCGTCCTGTATCACGTCAATTTTCTAATACAGAATGTTAACCAATATTAACATATATATATCAATATCTATATCTACATATACTTTAAGCTGTCAGTGTATTCTTACCTTAATCATGATTACAATGAACCTTTTGCATACTTTTTTTGGCATCATATTTATACTACTTAATTTTGCTAGTAGTATAAATGAGCTTACATAGATAAATTATTGTAGAGATTAAATTTTTCATTTAGAAAATTTATAAAAGACTATAATGTACTGGTAATAATCTATGATCTATGATGGGTTGTATTATATGTCTATATAAAATAATAATTTAGTATTCTTTTAAAAAAAGTGGGATTTTATATTGCTATGTAATAATTTGCTAGAATTTACATTTTGATGTATATGACTTATTTACTTACGCCTGTTACTCTCAACAGATCATAGGTCGCAGACCATCATTCTCCAACCCAAACTGCCCTAGGCGTTCCCGTCTAGTTCTATCCAATTGTTAATTATCCTTCTCATCTCTGTCTCCATTTCTCGGGGTAACATGTTCTTTGGTCATCCTCTTGTCTTTTAACATTCAGGAATCCAAGTAAGAGCTTACCTTGCAATGCAATTAGGTGCTTTCCTCAATGTGCGTCTTATCTACTTGCAGCACTTCTTCCTGATTTCTTTTTCCTCTGGAATCTGGTTTGTTCTCTGCTACAGTAGGTTGTTGCTGATAATGTTTAGCCAATGAATCTGACCACTCCTCCTGGACCCTCTCTTGGGCTACTGCCGGTCCCAAGCTCGGATAAAGGAGAAGGGTAGGGAATAGGGTTACCGACCCTCAAAAAACGGTAACCAGAAAAAGAATAATTCAAACATATTTAATGGATATCAATAACTAAAATAGTGAATTAGGTTCGAATTAGAATCGAACTGATCAGTTTAGTCTTAAATACGAACAACTATAAGTAGAAATTATTAATACTATTATTGAATTTTTATGCTTGTTGTGTAAGTTGTCAAAGTTGAAGATAATCAATTTATTTCTAAGTGAGAACATTGGCATCTTGGTTATATTACATCAATAGTTTCATTAACTTTCAAGTGCAATCATATAAGGAGCTTAGATTCCTAATAACTTGAGCACAGGGGGTTATTAACATTGGTCCAATAGGGAAGCTATATGTATGGATTCTGGAATATTTTTCCGAAAGATGTTTGGATAGAATATCTTCGGCTCTTTCCGAGCTTATTATTATCTTCCTCAAGTTCACCCGTGGACCGTTTTTCAGCTAGTTAGTTTTTCACGGAATGAGATCGCTAACCCCGTGCCCAACCAACCTCCCTTATTCAAGTTTGGAATCGGCAGTAGCCCCAGAGGGGCTCTAGAAGGAATTACGTACATGTGCAATTTACCTGGATTATCATCAAACGAATGCATTATTGTTGTTTAGATTTCCTTCAGTATAATATCAGTAACACTGATAATAAGTATAGTCAAAGAGGTCAACACAAGTACCAGTTCATATCTTACTTCTATCGAGCCGAATTTTTCTCTAGCCAGCTAATGTGTTAAAGCAACTGTCCTACAATCAATTTCGATTATGGTTAAATATCTGGTTAAACCCTTTTATTAACTAACCTTAACAGACAACGTTGTTTGAGCAGTAACAATTTGTTTATTTCTTTGTATTATTCTAATCATTATCTTGTCCGTATAAATGTGTACACTAGATCCACATATGAGAACCTATGCATATATAGCTCTCTGTAGCTAAAATGTTAACCGCTTAAATATCGACAAATGAATCATTCTCTTTCCTATGTATATATATGTGTTTGAATCCTATAATTAGCCTTTACCTTGAGTAGCTGCATCTTATTCAATTTGACTATAAATTTGCCTCTGTGTTTACTCGAATACACATATATTCGCCTCTTTGCTTGAAATTTATTCGACATGCTTATAAATTTGTTGTCTATGCTATCTGCTAAGAAAAATTGTAGTTGTCGCTTCTTATTGCCTTGTAATTTCAAACGTAGCTGTGATGTATAAAACAATGGTTATCAAGGTGACTGATTAACGAAACTAAGCCAGTACAATGTTGTTTTATTAAGGTCAAGTATTTTGTGAGCTTCAATGATTAAGATCATGAGTCAGTTGAAGCTAGACCACCATGGAAAACCTGGAAGCACTGGATGGCCGTTCCGTCCTATTGTGGGACTCCTCAGCATTGCGCATCTGTTGTGATATAGTAACTCACTGAAGACAATGGTGGATGTGTCGCTCACTTTCGTGGATTAGTTGAAGTTAGACATTAACACCGCTGAGTGCCAGCCGACTCAGTAGTCTAGTGGTTAAGTGGTCGCGCGCGAAACCAGCAGGTCCTGAGTTCGAATCTCACAATGAGCGAAATCGTGGATCCTCATTACTAAGGAGCCCTACAGTGGGACGAAACAGCCGTCCAGTGCTTCCAGGTTTTCCATGGTGTTGGTCTAGCTTCAATTGACTCATGATCTTAATCATTGAAATTACTACAATTTCCACAAAACTCCTTTCGATATTTTGTGAGCATCTAAGCAAATATATGTTCTTAGAATTATCGATTGCAGTTATTTTCATGAAAGTGAGTATGTAATACTTTAAATGTACCCGTTGTTGAGATTTATATGGTCTTTTATTGCATACATTATTATTTGATTATAAAAGTTGAGTCATTTGTTATTCAGTGAACTTACCGAGAGTTCAAGTTCCATATACACATACTATACTCTTCATTTTTCTTACTCATATGTGAATGCTTGAAATCTGTATGACCTTTAAACATGTTGTATTTTAGTGTTTTTGAATTTGCATTATAAGAAATGATATAATGTTAATGAATATTGATGAAATGAAATGAGGGTGATGTATTTTAACTGAAATCAATTAAGGGTCAAACACTAATAAACAAAAAGTTTCGCTATATACCATCAGTTCTACTATCGTCGTGAGTAAATACTCATGTTAGTAAAATGCCAAAATCATGCATATATTCCATCAGTTGTTCCTTTTACACATACTTCATAATTCTTCCAATGCTGTTTTTTTTTCATTTCAATTCAACACTTTCTTTCCCTTTCTATTCTCTTCAGTTAGATCTTTTCAATCATCTGCTGTTAGGTATTCCACTTATAGTTGGTGTTACATACTACTTATGACAGTCGATATAAGTAATATTCAGCACACTATTACATTAAGCACCATATATCCTGTTAATCTTTGAAATTAATAACTAATGATAGTATTCAAGTTGTGACTAAATGTATTGCATAATCAGTCTGAAAATGAAATACACTCGGTAAAATAGACAGGACACATCATAGAATAATAATTTAAAATGTAGTGTGAATATATTCTTACTTCAGTAGCTCACAGTCTCAATTTTATATATATAACTAATTCATATTCACTATGATACTTTTTATTTTACAGGATTTTAACTATTGTTATTAACAAATACCTTCTCATATTGTGTTACTCAAGGATCTTCAAAAGTTAAACTACTAACACAATAGAACTCTCATCCAAGATTCCTTAACTAAGAAATAATCAATCGATTTTATTTTTGTTTCATTACATAGATTTTGTTCTATTACACATTACTTAATACTCATAGATAGTAGTTTGTATCATTTGTTGAAGATGTTAACGTTTCTATTGTTACTTATCAATCACATTACTATTTGTATCTATATTACATAGTCACTTTATTTGGAGATCTGGTTAACTTTCTTTGAAATTCTCTAGAAACTTAAAAACTACCAAAAATACTTTGAATAATCGATGTTCTTAAGAAAATCACAAGAGAATTTGAAAGAAAACAACGAACTGTTCAACAGTTTTGAGTAGACAACTGCCAAATTTACTTTAAATTTTCACATATATTTTGGCAAACATTTAAAGTCTTAAGGTTATACATGGTCTTACATGTACACTTGTTTTATATATGGGCCTCTTTTTATTATACTTCTGTACCCGGTTCTGTTTACCAGTAGAATATTTGTTTCACTTGAAGTTTATCAGTATGTTGTGGATCTATTCAAAAGATATTTCATAGGTATATTTCCTCGTAGTGGGTTACATCAATTAAAAGCCCATTCCCTTAGGAATATATCTATCCACAATGTTCAGATTTTACAATCTACATGACCGATTATTTCATTATATTTCGATTAATAAAGTCAAAGCAAAGGCTAAAGATTTGTTGAGTGTATTGGTGAATTCTTCGTTTTGTCATTGATAAAAGCAATAACGCATTTCATCTAGTTAATAGTTAAGATTATTATTTTAAATAAAATTTTATACTACTTAAACAATTTAAGTACACAAAAGACATAAAGAGATTTTTTGAAATATCACTGAGATAAAGAGAAATGTTAACTTGAACAAAGTGTACTTTTCAAAATTGAGTCTACTAGTAACCTGTATATAACTGTTTTCAGTTTTAAACTATGACAGAAAAATAAAATGAACGTAGCTGATAATACAGGTTTTTTGTTAAATACATTAGACTATATGTTATTATTGCCATTGTGTTTAGAAAAGCAACGTATCTTCAAATAAAAGTTACCTTCTGTTTAATGGAGGTATTCAGCTTGTTCAATCGTTTGACTAGGATTCTGTGATATTTCACTTACTCTAACTTTGTATATAAATCGGAACCATGTAGTAGTGTAGTGAATGGAACACCAGTGGGGAACCATCGAATGTGTTTGACAACAAATAGTAGAACTTGTTAATAAAATCTAACAATCATAAAGTAAATGGTCAATTTGCAAAATACCCATAAATTGTCTCAAAATGACTCAGACTTCCTTTGTTCTTGCATTTTCATACAAATTGCATTCTGTTTTCATTCTGTCTGCTGCCTCACATTCTGTTCCTGACTAACATCATATACTACTTATGTCTACATAAGTAGCATACACCACAGTAGTTCGCTCACTGTATTGTTTATACTTCAATATCCTTACAAGGATGAATGTTTCATCTAAAATGATAGAAAATATTTTGGTTTCCCAATAATTATATGAAAACATCTTAAGGCTGTCCTCAACTGAAAGTTCATCAGATTTTTAGACGTACGGCGTTATTCTGGTTGAAATTTATCTTTAGTCTTAAATTCTAATCCTTAAAATTAGTTCAGGTGAAGAAAAAAAGCAACATACGATATCTAAACTCACAATAGTGTCTTTATGGTACCCTTTCCTAACCATGAAGGGAGGTGTTCACTAACTTTTTGGTTCAGTTGCCTGGTAGTGCGCCCAATATTGCTTTCTCCACAGGAGCAGCTGAATTCATAGATACACATAGAAGTGGCATAACCAGGTAATTTATCCACCATTTGGAGAATCATCACAGATCAGGTCGAATACGATAGACAGAGGTTGGATGCATTAAACGTTCTCGTCACTGCCCTAGTCAGTCTATCACGTAATACATCACCAGCTACATCACCATTGAATTGCAGCTTCATGAATAGAGATTTTTTATTAGCTGTTAGTGTCGCTATCATCTTGCTTGTTATATGCAAGTGTTTCTTCAGGGAACCCTGTGGATATCCCATTTCAATCAACAAATTATGAATGTGCTCTAATTCCTTATCAATTGTATCAACTGAACATATCTTAATAGCTCTATTTACTAAGCATTTGACTAAGTTACTGTATATTAGAGTAAAGCATGATAAGGATCTAATCGAAAACACTATTTTTCGCTCATATATGTTGGGGTTAGCGACCTCACCCGTAGGAAACTAACTCACTCAAAAACCGCCAATCAGGAAACATTATTCCAACAACTTTGATCTCTCTACGCAAAAAACTTTGGATCATTTTGCCAGACTCTATCAACAACAATCTAATGTATCAGAGAGCAAACCAGATTCAAGTGGAGGAAGAGATCAAGAAGAAGCACTGGAAGTGGATAGGTCACAAATTGAGGAAAGCATCCGACTGCATCACAAGACAAGCCCTCGTATGGAATCCTTAAGGCCGAAGGAGCAGTGGAAGAGCAAAGAACACATTACGCCGAGAAATAGAGACAGATATGAGAAGAATGAACAGCAGTTGAACAGAACTAGGAAGGAAGCCCCAGGACAGAGTAGGTTGTAGAATGCTGATCGACAGCCTTTTCTCCCTTGGGAGTAACAAGCATAAGTAAGTCAGTAACTAATCTGTTCATTGCTTACCCTATCCATTATATGTCTGTAACTTATTTTTCGTCTGAATACAACTGTCGGGTCACGCTCGATCAAATCAAGTTGGCTTTCTCTCCTTTACTCATTCTTCACTTCAACGAATGCTCCAGTAAAACGAAAAACAAATTTGTTTAAAATGACTCGGATCACATCACAATCACCATGTGACTGTGTGCATATTCTGACAGTGTTCCATGTCACTTGAGCACTTGGTCCAATTCACAACATCGACCAGTGACAGTGCCCTTCCTGGTCCCACTCACAGACAACATGGTCTTACTGTATGGAACTACTGTGATGTCTGGTGATGAGTGGTGATTGATTGGTGAGTGTCGAGTGATGAGTGATTAAGTGAGACAGAGAGAGTGTGTGAATGAGTGAGTGTGTATGTGAGTGAATGAGAAGGAGATGCTTATGCTTATGCTTATGCTTATGCTTACGCATAAGCGTGTGTGTCTGTGTGGATTGCATGTTGTATTGTATTGTATTGTGTATAGTTTTAGTAAGCTCATTCATCTATGGTATTATATGTCTATTCAGGCACATTCATCTATGCTCCGACGCCAATCTCGCCCAATCAATGGCTCACGTGACCTGCGATTTCGCCTCTCAAGGTCACCCACTGCGACACTCATTTCTCCAGAACAAACGGCCGAGTGAGCTGGTGTTTTGCGTCTCAAGGTCACTTGCTCCGACGCCAATCTCGCCCAATCAATGGCTCACGTGACCTGCGATTTCGCCTCTCAAGGTCACCCACTGCGACACTCATTTCTCCAGAACAAACGGCCGAGTGAGCTGGTGTTTTGCGTCTCAAGGTCACTTGCTCCGACGCCAATCTCGCCCAATCAATGGCTCACGTGACCTGCGATTTCGCCTCTCAAGGTCACCCGCTTCGGCGCTCATTTCTCCAGAACAAACGGCCGAGTGAGCTGGTGTTTTGCGTCTCAAGGTCACTTGCTCCGACGCCAATCTCGCCCAATCAATGGCTCACGTGACCTGCGATTTCGCCTCTCAAGGTCACCCACTGCGACACTCATTTCTCCAGAACAAACGGCCGAGTGAGCTGGTGTTTTGCGTCTCAAGGTCACTTGCTCCGACGCCAATCTCGCCCAATCAATGGCTCACGTGACCTGCGATTTCGCCTCTCAAGGTCACCCGCTGCGACGCTCATTTCTCCAGAACAAACGGCCGAGTGAGCTGGTGTTTTGCGTCTCAAGGTCACTTGCTCCGACGCCAATCTCGCCCAATCAATGGCTCACGTGACCTGCGATTTCGCCTCTCAAGGTCACCCACTGCGACACTCATTTCTCCAGAACAAACGGCCGAGTGAGCTGGTGTTTTGCGTCTCAAGGTCACTTGCTCCGACGCCAATCTCGCCCAATCAATGGCTCACGTGACCTGCGATTTCGCCTCTCAAGGTCACCCACTGCGACACTCATTTCTCCAGAACAAACGGCCGAGTGAGCTGGTGTTTTGCGTCTCAAGGTCACTTGCTCCGACGCCAATCTCGCCCAATCAATGGCTCACGTGACCTGCGATTTCGCCTCTCAAGGTCACCCACTGCGACACTCATTTCTCCAGAACAAACGGCCGAGTGAGCTGGTGTTTTGCGTCTCAAGGTCACTTGCTCCGACGCCAATCTCGCCCAATCAATGGCTCACGTGACCTGCGATTTCGCCTCTCAAGGTCACCCACTGCGACACTCATTTCTCCAGAACAAACGGCCGAGTGAGCTGGTGTTTTGCGTCTCAAGGTCACTTGCTCCGACGCCAATCTCGCCCAATCAATGGCTCACGTGACCTGCGATTTCGCCTCTCAAGGTCACCCACTGCGGACAGCTCATTTCTCCAGAACAAACGGCCGAGTGAGCTGGTGTTTTGCGTCTCAAGGTCACTTGCTCCGACGCCAATCTCGCCCAATCAATGGCTCACGTGACCTGCGATTTCGCCTCTCAAGGTCACCCACTGCGACACTCATTTCTCCAGAACAAACGGCCGAGTGAGCTGGTGTTTTGCGTCTCAAGGTCACTTGCTCCGACGCCAATCTCGCCCAATCAATGGCTCACGTGACCTGCGATTTCGCCTCTCAAGGTCACCCACTGCGGACAGCTCATTTCTCCAGAACAAACGGCCGAGTGAGCTGGTGTTTTGCGTCTCAAGGTCACTTGCTCCGACGCCAATCTCGCCCAATCAATGGCTCACGTGACCTGCGATTTCGCCTCTCAAGGTCACCCACTGCGACACTCATTTCTCCAGAACAAACGGCCGAGTGAGCTGGTGTTTTGCGTCTCAAGGTCACTTGCTCCGACGCCAATCTCGCCCAATCAATGGCTCACGTGACCTGCGATTTCGCCTCTCAAGGTCACCCAGCTGCGGCGCTCATTTCTCCAGAACAAACGGCCGAGTGAGCTGGTGTTTTGCGTCTCAAGGTCACTTGCTCCGACGCCAATCTCGCCCAATCAATGGCTCACGTGACCTGCGATTTCGCCTCTCAAGGTCACCCACTGCGACACTCATTTCTCCAGAACAAACGGCCGATTACGATGGGCAATGGCTGTATACTCCTGACCATGTGAGATCATTTCATGTGGGGAAGCTAACTCTCCCCACCCTCAGCCATACCAGGGTATCGTATACACAATATTCACTTTGCGTTCAAATCCGAAGAATGTAAATTAATAGCATAACTACAATCAATGTTTAATACAGATTTTTTTTTCCAGAAAGTACAAATGTATTTAGTAAACAAAAGAAAGGAGAAAAGATTAAAATATTAAACAAAGTATACAGTATATGTGTATATATACACCAATTACTATTTCTATTATCAATTGTTTACTGAATACCTATACAATTTTAATGATTGACTATAAACTATGCCAAATATAAAATATACTACTATTATTAATGATAGACAAAATGATTTATGTCTGACTTTTGTTAAGTTAGATAAAAAAAAACAATAGACAGTAATTGTGACATCAATTCTTGAAGATTTTATTAATGTTAAACAATGTTATATATATATTGGATCCACTTTTAACTTTCTCTTCAAAGATCCAATTGAATGATCGTTATACGATATTTCAAACTTTTTATTTGTTTGTTTTTCTCCATTAACTATTTGCTTTTATCAATGTATTACTATTCTGAATCTTATGGTTTTCATAATATTCTTCAACATTATTTTTACAAATGATCAGGTTAATTCATTTCATCGATCTTAATTGATACATCAGGTTGTGTCCTGTTAGACTTTTTGTGTCCTTTAATTGTCAGAAGGGGTTTTGTGGAGATTGTAGAAATTTCACTGGTTGAAACCATGAGTCAGTTGAAGCAAGACCATCATAGAAAACTGGAAGCACTAGATAGCCGTTTCGTCCTAGTATGGGACTCCTCATCGGTGAGTATTCACAATCCCGTTCCCCGCGAGATTCGAACCCAGGATCTACCAATCTCACGCGCGAGCGCTTAACCATTAGACCACTGAGCTGGCCGGCATCCAACGGTGTTAATGTCTAACTTCAACCAATCCATGAAATTGCGCCACGGTAGACCATTGTCTTCAGTGAGTTGATATCTCACAACAGACCTGGTTGTCTTAGCGGTATATGTACAGGAAGTTAGTAGGACTTATAGATATTTGACAGCATATCAGTGAATTATAACATAACCAGATTTGAATAGGCAACAAAGAAAATGATTTTAATACATTTTGAGTACAGAAATAAATTGTACTAGTTTCAATTTTTATATATTTTTTTAATAAAATCCCTGTTTTGTTGTTGTAGGCACATCTGATGATTATGAAACTTGGATACCGCACTCATCAAATGAAGGTGGTAAAGACGGTTGTTTACTTGGTGTTCGTGAACAATTCAAACGATTGAAAAAAGATTCTCTGTAAGTAATTATATATTTACATATAATTTAAAAGTTTTTCAGCTTAACCAATAACAATAGATACTGAACAACCTTTCATCATTTAAAATGTAACATCAGTTCAATAATACTAAAATCCTATAATAACTTTATTTTTTTTTCTTATATGGTTACCAAGTTTTACTTATCAACGTTATCCTTTTAAAAAATTCCAAGTCAAACATGGTTACTTTGTCTTCGGGTTATCAGTGATAGTTGGTTCAGCTTAATAGGTATGAAGCTTTGAAGTTATGTGATAACAATATGAACATTTCTTACTAAACATCTACACTAACTGATTACAATTGTTATGTGAACCTAATAGTGTGAATCTTCCAACATGGCTCAGTTCAACAATTGATGACTTCATGCATTGATGTTACCTTTTTTAATTAGATTATTTTTGAGTTGGATGCGACCTACCCAGATTCCGTAAAGAGATAGCTCGTCAATTTATTTGTTGTTTAGTGTAAAAATTACTTCCGTTTTTTTACAGTTTACTCAAAATAAGCCAAACTTGATCGAATTCAGTATAAGTGATCTGAATCACTCAGTAATCAGTAAATGTTCCAAGATGAACTTTATATTTAAATTAATTAGAAAAAGGGCAATTAATTGTGTGATCAAGAATTAATTTACAGCTGATAAAAAAACATACGCATACAAGGATGATAACACCACTTTGTGATTACAGTTAATTAGATGTAAATTACGTATAGAGACTTCGTAACAGGAACGATTGTGCACAAATCAAATGGCGACACAACGGGCCATCGTTGAACATTCAATTGAATGGAACTCGTCACTATATATTAACTTCCTTGATTATGAGAAAGCATTTGACAATATTGATAGTATGACCTCATAAAACTGACATTATGGTGTCTTTGAAAAGATAGTCAACATGATATGAAGTTCTTATGACGATCTACACTGAAAAGTTATTGATCGAGGGCAATTGACAAATGTATCCCTAGTGAAGATATATAGATGTCAGACAAAGCTGGTTACTCTCTCCCTTTCTCTTTCTTCTGATGGTTGACTAAGTTATGAAAACCTCTGTATCAGATAGGTATCACGGATTATAATAGATAATAGATTCATTGGTCAGATAACCCCTACTGTGACATAGAACAAACGAGCTTCCATTTATGAATAAAATCGAGGAAGGACGCTGGAGGTGGATAGGACACATATTATGGAAATCATTGGACTTCATCACAGGACAAGCCGTAACTTGAAATTCTGACGACAAAAGTAGAAGAATGAAAGTGATTTCTAGTGCTTTCTAATTTTCAATGATGTTTCAACAAAAATACAATCTCTAATAAATATGACTTACAAATTTAATCAACCTGTACAAAACCCTTTTCACCTAAACAATTTTAATACTTGTAATCATGAGTCAATTGAAGCTAGATTGATAGATTCTGGATTCGAATCTCACAAGGCGGATCATAGATGAAAAGTCCTATAAAAGAAACGAAACGGCTTTTCAGTACTTCCAGATTTTCTATGGTGGTGGTGGTCTAACTTCAATTGACTCATGATATCAACTATTAAAATTATTATAATATCCACACAAAATCCCTTCTGATAATAAATAATAATCATTAGAATTAATGTTATCTTCAGAAGGGGGGTTTTGTGATTTTAGAAATTTCAGTAGTTGAAATCATGAGTCAATTTAAGCTAGACCACCATGGAAAACCTGGAAGCACTGGACGGCCATTTCGTCCGACTCCTCAGCAGTGCGCATCCACGATCCGGCCTCACGGGATTCGAATCCAGGACCTACTGGCCTCGCGCGCTAGCACTAAACCACTAGACCACTAAGCCGGCACTCGATGGTGTTAATGTCGAAGTTCAACTAAACCGGGCCAGTTATGAGATAGTAACTCATTGATGACAATGGTGGATGTGTCGCTCAATTTCGTAGATCAGTTGAAGTTAGACATTAACACCTTTGGATACTGGTCAGCTCAGTGGTCTAGTGGATAAGCGCCTGTCGCGAGACTGATATGTCCTGGATTCAAATCCCATGAGGCGGGATCTTGGAAAGTCCCACAATAGGGTGAAACGGCCGTTCAGTTCTTTCAAGTTTTTCACTGTGGTTTAACTTCAACTGACTCGTGATGTCAACTATTAAAATTATTATATAATATCCATATAAAACCCCTTCTGATATTAAACACTAATTATTAGAATTCATATTATCTGTCTATTAAAGTACATTTATTTATTATTTAAATTATACTACATATATTATGTGTAATATTAAACAATTGTAACTATACTAAAATGAAGAATGATTTTTTTTTAGAATTTTAATTGGCCATAATTCTTATAATTGACGTACATATCCATATTTGTATATATATATATATATATATATATATATATATATATATATATATATATATATATATATTATATATAATATATATAGAGAGAGAGAGAGAGAGAGAGAGAGAGGGAGGAGAGAGAGAGAGAGATAGTGAGATATATCAGTCATATATTCACTAGTAATTATAAATGAAACCATTAATAAAAATGAATAAATGTACCATTTGTAACATTTCATGAGAACCTATACATATACATATATAGATGATTGAAAATTATAAGTGATATAGGCATTCATTTTATAACATAATGTAGAACTTTTGTTTTTATAATATTGTTCAAAATGATTAAAAAATTAATTCATTGTTACATATTGTGTAAAATTATCTTTACAAGTTCATCAAATGAGCAATATTGATAAGTTCTATGCTAGAATGAAATAATCATCTATTGATGATAAACTTTTGATAGATCTTTATTGTTTGAATATTATTTATTATATCTGATCATTGCTAATTATTATGTCGGAATTGTTAATTATTAATTATACTTGTAAAGTGAAGTTGATTATGAATACAGTGAACTTGAATGCTGTTAAAGGTATGAGGGTAGTTATCATTTCTCGGTTGCCCACACCTTGGAAGGGTACTTCTGGAGTTACCTTAACAGGGAATCAAGTTAAAGGTGGTCTTAGTGACCTGAGAGCGTGACCGCACTGCCCAAGGGACAATTGCTTCAGGTCGGTCACACACGACCTTTTAATGAGTGATTTTCGTGTTGGCTCCGTACTTGTTGGCACCTTACTGCCGGAAACGGATATCCGTGGGGTAAGGCGAGGTGTGCATTTTTAGGGTCGACCTTTTCTAACCCCACCCTTCCTTGTGGGAAGGCAGCACTGCTGTTATGCTGGTTGTCTGAAGGAGACATCATACCGCCGTCTCACTTCTGTACAGTCAGCAGTACGACTTCGCCTTCAGACATTAGGTTTGCTGCTTTTAGTCTTTCCGCACTTCAACCGACCTGTCTGGCATGGTAGAACCTTGAGGAACGATTGTTCCAGCCAGTATAGCTTGAATGCTTCATTACGATTGCCAAGCTTGATCACCACGTCAAGGTAACAAAAACTGTCGGGAATCAGTGCAATAACCTGAACAGTTAGTCAGTCAGTCAGTAACAACGTGGAACTTTGTACGTACGTACATCAGTTCGAGTTGCCATACCACATTAGCACAGAGATTCAAAAGTAAGAACACAAAAACTGGTATAAGTGGACGATTTATTAGCCCCTAAAACACGACAACGATGACGAGGACCCGCAAAGTCGAAGATATACTCATTTCTATATGAATACTTATATCCATTTTCGATTAATAATTAAGATGAAGTCACATATATGGAAAATACTTACAGTTATAACAAATCGTATGCTAAGTATAGTTCATATTAACTTAATACAAGAATATTGTATATTATACAGAATAAAATATCACTCTGGGAAACAAAAACAAATACTACACTGAATAATTAGTACATTGAATCAAAAACGGAATTAATGTTGAACAAAACTGATAATGAGTAAATTAATCTAATTTTAACTTTTCTACCTATGTGGTGTGTGCTACTTATGTAGACATAAGTAGTATATGACGTGAGCACTGAACAGAATGTCTGGCGGCAGAGAGATAAGATCGAACAATAAAGAATGAAGACAGAAGGCAATTTGTATGAAAATGCAAGAACAAGGGGATTCTGAGTGATTTGAGACAATTGATGAACAATTTGCAAATTAACGATTCAATATATGGTTGTTGGATTTTACTAACTAGTTCTGTAATTTTTGTTAAGTGCATTGGATTGCCCCCAACTGGTGTTTTATTCACTACACTTGTCATATTAGCTTTTAATGGTTATCTAACATTGATCAATTCATGATTTTAACAAAGTAAAACTCATTGAGTTATTTAGAAAAGTATCACCTTATTGATGATTCATGATGTTTCATTATAAGTAATTGTTTGCTTACAACGATATCATTTACTAAAACTATAAATCTTCAAACAATACTAGAAATTGATCAAGTGAAAATAGTATACAGATGAATTTTAAATGAAGATGAATTATATAAACACATTAGTTGATAATTTTCTTTACAACAAACGATCATCATAGGACTAATGAAATGAATAGAGATGTTGTTTTCGAAAACAAAATTCAAACCGTAATGAACTGATTTATTGATTAAGGTACCACAGAAAATTAAACAGTACTGGACAACTATTCCGTCCTATTATGAGACTGTTCATCTATACGAACCGCTTAACTCCGTAAAATGATAATATCCAGAATATTTAAGTCTCATAACGAACCATCGTATTAGTTTTGAATGATATACATTCTTAAATCAGAAATGAATCTTAGTAACTTTTTATTTTTATTCACTTAAGCAAATGTTAAAGTAATGGAAGATAAAATAGACTCTTAGTTCATCGATTATAGATTCATTATTTACCTTGTTTGTTTCGTTTTATTCCTCTTTCTGTCTCATTCTTTGTTATACATCAATACATACCCTTATATATATATATATATATATATATATATATATATATATATATATATATATATATATATATATA